GACTCGACAGACAGCTTATCCGACGAGAACAAATACCTTCACCGTGTTTTTACGAAGAACAACTACAACAACGACTTCATCCGACGAAACACTCACCGACCCACTACCACTACCGAAACAAACGACACCGCAACCCCTACGACTACAGCAACCATACCGTACATAAAAGGCATGTCTGAAAACATCTCGCGCATCTTACTACCCTTCAATATCCGCGTCGCCCACAAACCCATCACCACACTACGTCAGTTACTAACCAACGTTAAAGACAAAGACGAACCGAGGAACAGACAGGGAACGATTTATAAGATCAATTGTTCCGACTGCCAAGCCTCCTACATCGGTGAGACTGGCAGAAACCTCACAACAAGACTGACTGAACACAGACGGGCGACGAGGAAAGGTGATGTCAGCAATCACATTGCTGAACACCATCGACTTACCAACCACAACATTGACTGGGACTCTGCGCAATGCCTAACCTACAGCACTGACTATTTTCAACGACTGACTCTGGAAAGCTGGTTTACTAACTTAGAACAGACTCCCCTAAACAGATGTCAACAACTACCCGCTCCATACAAACGACTCATTCACGACATAAACATCACAAACGACCGAAAAAGAACGACCTAACTTTACCGACAGATCGAAACAGACCAATCACGACCGACTTACGTCACTTGAGTCTTACAGCCAATAACATCACGGCAAAACCAACCGATCATTTCACACGAACTGGAATAAGAACATTCTACTGACAACAATCATTCACTTGACTCTGATGATGACTTCCACACAGGTTGTCGAAACGTCAGTCACTACCACCGACAACAGTCCTTCTCAGGACTACACTCACCCGGACGATCAGACTACACCTTCACATAAAACAGACTTCCTATTTACTTAAATAGCTTTCCAGTGTTGAAATAAATTTCAGTGGTATTAAACAGTAAAAATAAAAGATAACTAAATTGGTTGGAGGGATTGGGGGAGGAGGGGGAGGGTAGCTTTTGGGTAAGTGAAAACTGGTCGAGGCGAGTGCATTTTTAAGGGTCACTCACCCACATGATGAGTGCTCTCAAAATTAAGTATCCAATCCTGGCATTCTTTCCATTATTCATGAAAATCTTTGCTTGTGACAACAGTTTTTTCAGGAAAGTGTGGATGACATCTATTAGTCACCACGTGCACCTAACTGTCAAGTACATGATTGTGTACTCACAAAACAATTGGGTCCCCCCTTTCACTGCTAATCCTTTTTAAGGGTCATTGTTTTTGCCATCAAGTCTATATGTAGCAATATCCAGCTACCATGATGATAACATAGTCTTGATCAACAAAGGTTTTACTGACAGGCAATAGACTAAAAATATTACAAAAAGAACTTCCAAATACAAAAAGCTAATGAATGATGTCGACTAACAGACATGTCCTGACTAACCTCAAAAATATATTCTGGGATTCCATTTCTGTAAAAACTATAAGGTAAAGATTTTTCAGGAACAGAAAAAGTTTCCCAGAAGTTACAAAATACCTTAATCACATTTAAGGAGTTTATTCTTGTGATCTGAGCATGAAAGATCAACTAGCCTCCTACAGTTGCCAATCAGAACACAGAATTCAAAGCTGAACATTAAAAGACCCTCTTTAAAATTTTAGGGCTTTGACCTTTACATCTTTTTTTTTTTTTTTCATTTTTTGGAGAATTCAGTTTAAGTTTACAACAAAGTCCTTTCAAATTTTCCTTAAAAAAAAAAAACAAAAAAAACAATTACTCTGACCACATCGTAAAAGAGGTTGTGGTTATTTATTGTGGTAAATGACACTTTAAAAGAGAAATAATCCTGAAATCAAGTTTAAAGTCTTTGCGTGGGGCATTGTTGCCCATATTGCCCAAGCCAGAGGCTCATATAATTGCAAGACAACACCCACCAATCCCACCCCAGAGGAGGACATCCATCACACAGTAATCTCGTGAGTGGGAAATTAACGTCTCCTACCCCTAACCCTGCAGGAGACGGGACCTCCATTTATTCGTCCCTATCCGAGAAGACTAGAATATTTCTTGATGTTATGGAAAGGCAGCATATTCTTCTCAATTATTTTAAGACCTTGAGTGTTGGTCTAGCCGGGGCTCGAACCCTCGACCTCCCACACATCAGTCCAGCGCTCTATCAATTGAGCTAACCGGGAGGCATGAGAATTATTGTGAGACAAATGCAATCATTTGTCTCACAATGTGGTCACTTGGGACGTGGATCACGACTGCATACTGCTATTCTTCAGGTGATTAGGTCAACCTTGTTATAGTGTTAATAAACTAGGGTTTAGTTAATGTTATAGTGTTAATGAATTAGGGTTTAATTAATGTTATAGTGTTAATGAACTAGGGTTTAATTAATGTTATAGTGTTAATGAATTAGGGTTTAAATAATAGGAACCATCACTGGGTGTATGATGCATGACATGAGAGGTCCCAGAGAGTAAACCTATTTAGCTAATTAAGCTGCATACATATTGAGGTTGTGATATATTGTGTAACTGTAGTTTAGGTAAAGTGATCATTAAAGTTCGGTCGGCCGTTTTAACCAAGGATTGGCGTCACTTTTCTGCATTAAGACACAAGAGACCTCAATAGACTTTGACCAGTGATAAAAGCCGACGAGAATTTATTACTGACATTTCACTTATCACAGGCATCTCTGATCGCAATATTTTCCAAGGTTTCAGATGCTACTAAAACGACATTGGGCATCAATACTAATTGATAAACCGTCCAATTGCATGCACCAATATAGGAAGTAGAAAGTTTTCCGTGTAACCCCATATTATACTAAAACAAAGCCGTTGTCACAAAAGCAATCTGAATGTTTTTCCTTTTGTTATCTTTACATAAGACTTGAATGTATAAAGAGAAGGCGGCTGTACGAAAATTTTGCTTAAGACGTTTTCCAAGTCTCTTTGTTCAAATGGTAACACATGCTTAAACCAAGTACGGGAGATAATTCAGCTTAAAAGCTTGCTAGTAAATCAGAGAAACACAACAAGTTTTGTTCCTGAGACGAACGAACCTCTCTGAGTAGTTTACTTCCGTACTGACGTACGTACTTCGTACTAACGGCTAACCCTTAACTAAAAAAAAGCTAGCTTAAAGCAACCACAGATCCATTTCACACAGATATCGGATATTTCAGTATAGGCTTACCTTGGACTTTCTAATGAGTGTCGTCCGCCAAGACGCGGCCATTTGCCCACATCGAACTAGCTTTGGACGCTATGGTACCCAGGTTTTGCTCGTAACTTAGTGCCGGAAGTTCAGAACTTTCCAAGAAAAAACGGGCGTTGATCTAGATAATACGTCCTACGAACTAGGAGGCTGCTGAGGAACAAGGGAACACGGCATGTATTATTTCCTTTGGATGATAAAAGTAATACAATACAATACTCGAACCCGTGCCCCTAAGTCTCTAGTTCAGTGCTACCACAGTGAGGATCAGTCAACTTGTCACTCCATCGGCTAAATGCCAATTACCACAAAGTGGGATGAATCGCCATTCAGCGGATAAGTGTCAACAAGACGTACTGCGTTATCTACCCTTCGAAGAACCGGGACCAGAAAAATAGATCAAACTTTTTCTCTCATTGCTCATAACTACACAAATACGCCTGAAAAGGTTTTTTAATCAAGCATTTACTCTGTTGAGATCTCGACCAGCCAGTTTCCGGTGTTCTATGCAATAGCGGGAGCCAATAGGTATAACACTATCCACTTCCAAATACCTTTATTTCTTCGAATAAGTCCCTACTCTCCAATAAGCACCCTACCCCGAATAAGCGCCCACACCCAGGCCATAATTTAAAACAAGCGCCCCCTCGAAAAAATCGCTCCTTCCAGCACCCTTTCCTCCACTTTCTTAAAGGGAAGGGATAGAAAAGAAAACCTATTTCTTTCGCCACTATATTTAAAACTGTTCATGTTTCAACTATAATGGGATCAGTGACGGAAAATAGTTTCAGTTTCCGTGCCACTCATTTCTATCACCATATCCTTACATAGTGCCTCTGTGCGTTAGCTGTACTTTTGCTTTTTCCCTATGGCTGTGCTAACTTAATTAGCACCCCCTCGAAAATATGCCTACCTTCCAATAAGTTTTAAATGGTAAATAAATTGTAAATAAGCGCCTAGGCACTTATTCGATGAACTACGGCAACCTAGGTATCTTTGAGATTTTTCTCATTACGCTTAATCGTAGTTCAGATTCATTTTACATTGATTTCAATATATCATGTTACATAATGTCAAAGAAATATAATATTGATAATCAACTTAAACAACTATTTATCCGTCAACATATTGTGGTCGACCCTTGTTGAATAGTTTTGTCTCGCAGCATTCTTTAATGCGACATCTATGAAACGATTGGCGTTTTCAGAAAGTTTGGCAAACGCGCAGCTTACACGTCATTGAAATATTGGCGACAGCTTTCAACCAATCACTGCATTCAATGTATATTTCCAGATACTTTCATTCCTTCTCAAGTCACGCCACTCTTACTAAGGCGTACTTAACAATTCAGTATAGCTTACTAATGACGCCTATCATTCCACTCGAAAGGGAATCAAAGCCTCCTGGGTTAGGGTACAAATACAGCTTGTTCTGTCCAATGAAGGATAATTCATCACTGCAATGCGAGTTGCTGTGAGGAGCACGTAATTGATTAATACTTTGTTGGCGCGGCACTTGCTGATGCTTCCATACCTAGGAAGTAACATAGTCTGTCTGCTGTATTATTTCTGTCAAAATATAACATGGACTAGCGCACTAGAAGATACAATTATTCTGTTGAACTTGTTAGGCGCTGAACCGTAGTCAGTTGCAGTCTTTATTACTTATGGACCAGCAGTTATCATAACATAATAACAGCATTTCTGTTTTTAAATCATAAATTCTCTCTCCACATGGTATGAGTCTGATATAAATATACTGAATTTCAAAATTGATTCCATATCTTGTTACCATCAATCGATGTCAAAAGCGAACTGAAGCTTGCAGACTCTTTTTATTGGTAATGGCAACGAACCGTTGCAAAACTATATCAACTTCGTCAAATCCTAAGTTTTATTTCACAATCTATCAGGTGCGAGGAAAAAAGATTCATGGAAAGCCTGGGAACGTTGGGGGTGACTTTATTTTCTCATTTTTTTTTTTCAAAAACGACGCCATCTGATCGTCATCGTTCTTCCGCTACTGTCTATTAGGCGTGTTGTCGACTCGACGCGGCCTCAGATACAGGTAATGGCTCATCACCATCACTGGATTAGTATTCACTGCATTTTAACAGCTCCAAGTTTCATTGGTCCTTTTCCTCCTGTGGCTCTCTTCTCCTTTTGAGCCTGCAGTCGCTGCCGCCTTTCCTCTCTCTTCTTTTTCAAGAGTTCTGCTTTAATACTGGACTTGTCTTCGCTCCAGTCCTGCGCATCTTTTTCGCTCAGACCCCACCCATCATCCGGGGTGTTTTTAGTATTTGATTGTGCTCCAGGTGATGGTTCTTCGAACGATCCCCAGTCCCCTACATCCCATGCATCTCCATCAGCCTCTGTACGCTGTGGAGGGTTATCAGCACTGCGCTTCACTTTGCTTCGTTGAGACGATTTCAAAGCACCTTGAGCAGCTTTACTTTTGATCTACAGAGAGGGAAAAACTTTGTGAGGTGGGATGTTTCGCAAAGTGTTAAGGCCTACTGAAGCCACTGTTAGTTAAAAGGAAACTTTTAAGCGCTGACGTCGTTGAAGACGCGCACCACGGCAGGAAGGAAAAAATAGTTTCCGAAGCAACTAATCAGCTAATCAACCACAAAACTCATGTTTTAATACTAAATTCAACGCTGCAGAAAATAAGCTGTAGCAATTTCCAAGATTACCTTTGGCGTACGCGTATCATGAACGCAGTCGTTGGCTACAACCGGCACCTGACTGGAATTTCCATCCAGCAATTCTGATGACGGAGTTTCTTCATCAAAGCGCGAAGGCTTCTGCAGCTTTGATTTTCCTGTTGCTTGCTGAACAGCCTGTTAAACGTAATCACAAATCAGTTTAATGTAAAACAATAGAAAACGTCCTCAAAGATAAGGTGCCCTTATGTGTTAAAAATTCTGTACCTTTTTGTTTTCAGGTCTCCTCAGAGGGGATTTACTTGTAAAGAAAGATGGTGGAGCAAAACTGTCAACTGACCAATCATCATTCTCTCCCCAGTCACCGTAGTCGCTTCCACTCTCCGCTCCGTCGTTGTCAGCCGCAAGACTTGCAGGGTGCCTGAGACACTAGGCACAGAGTAACAGAAGTTGAAGTAGAAAAACGAAAGGAAATGGAATTTTACGATTGAATCTTACGACTGAATCTTACCTGTTGCTCTTCTACATTCTGCAATGCTGCAATTTCCTCTTTCGCAGCTAGTAGATCACTCCTAAGATCACCTATATCAGGTTCCTGCAAAGAATGGTATTGTGCTATAAAAATCTCAATGCTGGGCACACTGTATCCTTGTCAGGACACAGAGGTAGTCTGAATTTTAGCCGTCTCTTGCCTTTACCCCAAGGGGGGCGCGGGAGAGAGACGTCTGAATTCCGAGCGTTATAATGTCGTCCGGTGACGTCACTTACTTTTTTGGATATGGTAGGTAGTTTTTGATTGGTTTGAATTAGATAACCTTTTCTTATTGGTTAAACGCGCCAAGGATGATTTCAAGAAGTGTAAACAATGGCGGCGGATACGCGGGACGATTTTAAAGCGATATTCGTGACAAGTTTGCAGTGTGTTTTACCAGAAGAAAGCTTTGTTTTATCTTCTTTTTGGAAAGGATGTTTTTGTCAATCTTCCTATGGGCTTTGGCAGAAGTCTAATATATCAACTGTCACCTCTGGTTGCGGAAGAGATGTCGATAAGGCATTATCAGAATGGCAATATTCGAAGTGGCATCGTGTCGGTGATTTCACCTTTGGTATCTTTGATCAAAGATCAAGTTAAAGGTCTTCAACAAAGAGGAATTTTAAAGGCTTCGTTTATCGGTGCTGGTGAAGAGGAGACCAATTTCCGCGCCGCCCTTGGGGTAAAGGGAAGAGACGGTTGAAATTCAGACTAGACACAGAGGACACCTTTTATCAACGTATCTGTCACAAATTTCCCAGCAGTTTCACAATGCTAATGCGGTTTCACCTTGCCTTTGACTTTCGGCTTCAACTAGCTGTTGATTCATCTCCACAATACCTAAGAAACAAGGAGCACAAATAAATATTCCGAACCTGCCTATCATTCCACTCGTGCCCATTCCACTCGTTCCCGCTCCACTCGCCACTGGAGTCACTCCCTGGGTCCTCAACTTTATCTCCGCCTGTAGCCTGCTTCACACCTGGAGGAATGTCTTTTCTTGTTTTACTGTCATCTGTTTCCCCTGCTGAGAAATGGGTCAAAATTCCCCTTGAGAGTTGTTGAGACTTAACACAGGGCTCTCTTGAAGAATTCGGCTTTTGGCCGAGGTATCAAAGCTGTGTATCGCACTTGGTTCATCATAACCGGAGTAGTGGGAGTTTTATTTTTTTGCGTTACTGATGCGGTGCTTAAAGAGGCTAACCAACACCACTCCTACTGGTGATACGATAATCCTCTATACTATAGAGTATCTCCGATTTCATGAGTAGGACGAAGGAACTTGGAGTGGAGTAGAAAGCAGTGCCGCTACAAAACCTAACCAGTGTTGGAACTTACCTGGGCGAGTACCTTTTCCAAGCTCACTCTTGTCCACAGGTTCAGTGGTTCCACCAGAGGCACTTCCTCCTCGGTACAACTTTGACGTAAGGGAACTGACAGCCCAACCAGTCCACGAGCTGCCGGTAGCTACTGACTCCGGGGCTCGCTCAGCTTTTAAGTCAGTAAGTAAGTAAGTAAGTACTTTTATTTAAACACATATCGCATATGAGCGATAGCTCGTTTAAATGCAAATGTGGAAACCCACCCATCCCACCCCAGGGGAGGACATCCATCACACAGTAATCTCGTGCGTGGGAAATTAACGTCTCCTACCCCTAACCGTGCAGGAGACCGGACCTCCATTGATTCGTCCCTATCCGAGAAGACTAGAATATCTAACCATTTCTTGATGTTATAGAAAGGTAGCATATTCTTCTCAATTATTTAAGACCTTGAGTGTTGGTCCGGCCGGGGCTCGAACCCTCGACCTCCCGCACAACAGTCCAGCGCTCTATCCATTGAGCTCACTGGGAGGCGGAGCTTTTGAACAACAATCAGAATATTAGACACTGACACTGGATAACATGAGCATTAACGAAGAAAAATCTGATTCCCCACGAGTAATGGATCTACCAGCCATCGGACTTCACAGTGTGATACTCTACCACCGGATTCTTTCTCGATCTATTCACGCAGTCCACCTCGTTGGTGGCAATCATTCATGCAGTGCGCGTTTTTATGCAAGTCGTGCTGTTCTTCAGTTTGACGTCATGAGTCCAATGTAAATGTCCGTATCAAAGTATGAATTCATGCCATTTCAGTATAACAAAACATCATAGTTAAAGATTTGTGAATAATCCACAGTGATACACGAGAGTGGGTTTCCTCTTACAAGCCACAAACTACTTAATCTCCAAATGTACTTGGAATAAAATTTTTTTCTTTACAGTAATCTCTATAACCGAGTGTACAGATTGGAAAAGTGGCTCACTCCCGACGCTGTAACACACCGAAAGTTAAGGTTCTCATCATCGCTAAATTTACTAAACCCGTATTTGTCGGATACACTGTATTAAAGAAACATTACAAGTGTGTGTACGTCTGAGATAGGTTTGTTTTAATAAAATAAGTGGGAGTATGATTGGTTGGTGTGCATGGCGTGTTTGGTAATGAGTTCCCTGGTATTTCCACCATAGCATTGTTCAATTGGCTGGGTATAATAGTACATCACTCACCAGTCTGATTCATAGCAGATTCTGGATCCTCTGAAGCTTTTTCAATCTTAGTCAGAAACATCTTTATAACTTTAAAAACCTGTCAACAGCGTAAAATTATTCAGCAACTTGAGTAAGCCAGACTTATCTTGGTAATAATGTAACCATTCAACAAGATATATTCTATGACTTACCTTACATGCTGCTTTTCGTGATGTATGGTGGTGTTCAATAAACCAAACACATTATTCCTAATTTACTACATGTACAGTAAGCAGGGGCCGGTTATCCAAAAAAAAAAAAAGAAACACACACACACACACACACACACACACACACACACACACACACAAAGTAATACTATTTGATAAAAAGCCCAACCAAAGAAGATAGAAACAATAAGATGGACATACGGAATTTCAGTGAAAATTTTCTCCTTATTTTACTGATTGGTAAAGGTTCTCGTATTGTGTAATTATCACTGCCAATTCAACTTTACCTGATCTCTGACTTTCCGTTCAGGGTCCACAGTCAGTGTGCACAAAGCTGGCAAGATCTTGAGTGCACTCTCTTTTAAACTGAAATATTCAGCTGAAGCAAGGAAACCCATTACACCTGCTGTGCGGGCAGGAGGGAAAGGGTCCCGCAAGGCACGCAAGAATGCTGGGATCAGTACCTTTTGTCGCGTCTGTAAAATAAAACTCATATCATGAAATTATTACTCCCGCTAAACAATTTATATGTCTATCAAACTGACACGAACACACCATTAAGTTTGCCGAGACCTTTATAAGATTCCTAATCGTCCATGCTTCTCAGCCATCTGATTTGATGTTGTTGATAGGATTGTTTCAAAGAGAATCTAAATACTGATAGTCAGTTTGCTCCAGGCACTTAACGTGAGGTAAACTGAGATAAAAACAACAGAAGACCACTTCCTTGAAGGCAGCTTTTAAATTTGGATTAATATTAGACCATTTAAGAACATCTTCAAAATCCCAAACTAAATGTACTTTGTAAAGTTCTTCAGCGTGTTACTTAGCAACTGCAAGCTCTGAATGTTCTTACAGATAGAAATTTGTTAACTAGTATTCATTTGTCAGACTGAAAACGTGAATACATACAGCTGGTGGGAGATGCACTGCAATTTTTCCCAGACATACTGTGGTGTTTGTTCTGATGCCAGGCTGGAAGAAAAATTAACAAGTTCAGGATTCTCTCTGATTATTACATCTCAGAGCTCATTAATCAAAATTGTGAAATATCAGTGAAGAGAGGTGCAACTACAATCATTTTGCACCTACTTCTTGATCCATTTGAAGCTTTGCAAAATGTTTCAACAGCTGATTATTGATTGTCTTTTCACTTAATTTTGAAGCAAGAAGTAACATAGACTGCAAAAAAGAGAAAAATAAAAAGCAATGATAAATATGATTGAAAAAAAGAACAGGGAAAAATGTTCTAACAAACAAAAGAGGAAATACTTGTTATAGTGTTAATGAACTAGGGTTTAATTAATGTTATAGTGTTAATGAATTAGGGTTTAATTAATGTTATAGTGTTAATGAACTAGGGTTTAATTAATGTTATAGTGTTAATGAATTAGGGTTTAAATAATAGGAACCATCACTAGGTGTAAGATGCATGACATGAGAGGTCCCAGAGAGTAAACCTATATAGCTAGCTAAGCTGCATGCATTTTGAGGTTGTGATATTTTGTGTAACTGTAGTTTTAGGCAGTGATTATTAAAGTTCGGTGGGCCGTTTTAATGAAGGATTGGCGTCCCTTTTCAGCAATAAGACACATCAATACTTAATTGCATTAATTAGCCAACAGACATTTACATATAAAATTTCAAGCAATGATTTTAGTCAAACCAAAAGTCAGGGACTTGAACCTCAAATTTGCAAGAAGTTGTGAAACATAGGGACTTGGTTTAAGACAATGCTACTCACAAAAGTCTTCTGGTTAAGTTTTATAAAAGAGGCAAATAAAAAATTCAGAAACAACATTTAGAAGCTTCAGTTCTCCAGTATACCAGTTCTCCCATCAAAAAGGTATGTGAGATGGTCCTTGGTCTTCCCAATTTCTTTGGGAAGATCAAAGGTGACTCTCCTTGTCAAGAAACTGTCTTATACCGGAGGGTATATTGCATTTACCTTGACTGTCTGTTCCCTCATGGCTGGAATAGTGTCACCAAATCCCAAAGCAACATGAGGAAAGATTTGTTCATCCACTGTTGAAGGCTTCAAGTGTTGCACAAAATTATCAAGCTGAAATGAGCAAGAAGTCATGGTTACTATGCAGAATTGTAGAAAATAATTTAGCATAAACTAGCTAATTTAACAGTCTATTGAACAGACCAGATTAAATTCAATTCAGCTGTTCATGACATTCAAGTAGATTAACCATTCAAGTAATTCTACTAATTGTAACCAGTACAATTTTTTCTAACTATATATTCCATAGCTGTAATCAAATGGGATAATCAGACATTTGGTAGTTAAGAGGCTACTGTAATTGGGCAATTACATCAGCCAATCACACTGAGTATACTTATGATAAATGAATTCTCCAATCATAGAAATGAACAGAAAGGTTATTATATTGATTTTGTTTATCGCTTAATATATGATTACAGATCAAATTAGATTCCACTCTGTCGTATTCCCATTATCATAGTAATGGTTTCTCTTCTTACTTGTTGTAATAAGTGGATGCGTGTTGCCCTATCCGTGGATGAAAATAATTTGACCACACATGGCACAATTTTCTGTTGATATTCATCTGTATCCAAGAGTTTACCAACCTGTATTGTAAAAGAATTCAGAATAAAAATAATTTTAATACACC